ACACACCTTCGTCGGTCATCAACAACACCTTCCACGCCCCCATCTCGGTCCCGTCGTCGACTGGCCCAGACGGACTCCGCCAGCCCGGCAACGAAGCTTTTCTTCATTTCATCATGACGGTCCTCTACATATCGCTAAAGCCCATATCCCGTCCAACCCGTAATGACGATGCATGCATGCATACCTACCTGCTCTCGTCCCCCTCGTCGTGCGGTCCCGTGTACTGGACTGGCTGCCGTCTGCCGAATCCCGTCGTCCCCTCTCTTGGCATCCCTGATCTCGCCATGTGTGCCCGCCCATCCCGCCGCGAGGTCCACGAGTTCCTTGCCCGGCACCGAGACGCCACACCCACGGCCTCTCCGCTCCTTCTTGCCCTCACGTCACTTACACCACACTGACCGACTGATCGATCCCGCTGTGTAAGCAACTCTAAAAAAGTGACCTCCCTCGCCCCTCCTCGAATGCTTCCTCCGAGGCACGTCCGGCCCCCTCCTGGCTCGTGGGCGATGAACCGACCAACGTGCGGCTCGGCGTGCAAGCCAACGGCGCAAGCCACACGCCGTCGCCGCAGCCTGGCCTTCTCGGTGCTTGAGCCGCCTCGCGCAATTTTAGAGGGGAGATATCAAAAAGCAACTCAGTGCAACACCAAGCATCCAATGGCGTTGTCTAGCCTTCACCACCAGGACTCTGTGTAATATCGCGCCCTCAATGCAAGTCCGCATGACACATCATGCAAACTGGACAAGAGAAAAACATCTCATCACCTCGGCCGCTCGTGTTCTCAGGCCCGCATCCGTCCCATAGCGGAACACACAAACCTCAGCAATACGACCATCGAGGAGCTTCTTTCGAAACCGTTGAAACCCGTGAACCTCCCTTTCTCGCGTCCGAACCCTGCCCTTCTGTCACCGTCCCCCCTCCCCCTCCCCTTTCGCACCCTTAACTCCGGGGCGACGCTTGGGGGTGCAGCAGCAGCAGCAGGAAGGGGGGTCACGTCAACGTCAAAACAGGTTAAACCACAGACGCTCCGCCCGTCAATCTCCCGCGACAATCCCCAAGCACCCCCTCGTCGGTAGGATCGAAGCGGTCGATGCGGAGAACAGACCATAGCCAAAGGGTAGGAAGCCGACGGCGGCGGTACAGCGGCCGTGGGAAAAAAGGACACCAAGAGCACAATACCAAGTACCTACAAACCCAGCTCCCCCAGATCCAATAAACCGTAAATGTGCTCCGACTGGGGAGGAGGCCGAAAGCAGTCTCCTGCGCAATAAGCTCTCCAAAAAAGCATTCCTGTCAGATTCCTCAAGACATGCGTGTGCGAGCATGTTCTTCAACATGGCAAAAAGGCGGGTTGCATTCGCGGTGGGAATCGATCATCTCTCGTCGCAAAGGAACCCAGGGACCAAAAAAAGAATTGCGGCAAGGCGACGCTGCCAAGACACCCTTGTGCCATTTCCCGTCCCGTAGTTTTGGCGTGCAGGCGACAAGGCAAGGCCCAGACCGTCCTGTCTCTGTCTCCTGTCTCTTGTCTTCCCCAGGCCTAGGCACATAGTCTAACATCTGGGTCAAGCGAACCTGTTCATCGCAGGTCTCTGTATCCGGTTTGCAATACATTGATCTCGCGAAAGCTAACGCCACGGAATGAAAAGTGCGTTGGTTGCAGGAGCGCAAGAGCGCAAGACGGAAGAAATGCTATATCTGCGATTCCAATATATCGCACACCGGCATCTCAACGATCCAGCTCCTGAAAGAAAAAGAAGGCTGAACCTTCCTCGTTCAGCCCCGGGCTTGTGCAAGGTTCAACCGGGGGTCCCGAACGGCGGACGGTGGCTAACAAAGGCAGGTAGGCCATTTACTCCGCCGTACCCTATTTTTCGACGTTCATGCGCCGAGCCCGGGACCAAGAGGCTCAGACGTCGTGTTCGCGGCGGTCGTTATATAAATTAAAACAGTTGTCAGAAGAGACGTGCCGGACCATGGGACAGGTTCAATTTAACGAGCCGCAAGATGATCGTCGCCGCGGGCGGGGAACTAGCCATTTAACTTTTGTGATACGGATACACTACACGCAGAATCCAGTCGTTCGCACGAATTGGTAAAATACAAAGTTAAAGCTGAGGGGCGGCGCCGCGGGAGATGATCTTCTGCTTTGCTCCGAAATTACAGCACCGCAATTTGGACGACAGGAAGCTCAATGTGAGTGTGGGCGGAAAAAAGAGAGAGTACATACGCACGATCCGCAGAACGGCTTCAACTCTAATTGACTACGTGCGCCGTTGGATTGCGTTATTGTTGATGCTGTTGGCCGTTGCGTGCGAGCGAGCGAGAAATTTAATCTGGGCCGGAGGTTTAACGGAAAACTCTCGTTACCTTAATCGAGTTGCCGTAATGAAGTGCGTCTTGTTAATGGTCCTGAAGAGTTCGCTGTGTCAATGTTGCTGTTGAACTGCTCTGCAGCGGTATCAAGGCATCTCCTACCTATGGTCCCTAGACTGGTGAAAGACACCACGTACAAACACCGCTGCATCGTTGGGAATTTCCCGCAGGACCAGGCTACGAAATGCATCAAGGCTCTGTACAAGAAGAACAGCAGGCGGCGCACATGGGCCCTTGCCAATCATCGGAGCTAACGTCGCACGAAGGTGGGAATCGAACGCGCACGTTCCGTTCAATGATTTTTTTTTTTGCTTTGCTCTAATCTCGGGAGCCTCCCCATCTCGGAATGGAGCGATCTCTCTTTCTGGCGAACCGTGGCATGGTTGATGCCAGGTACCTCGAGGTACCTACCTTACACCTGAATTTGTGCAAACTGCGGTTGCTGCTGCACAAAAACGGTGGCCGCAGCAATGACATCCCACTCGTCGTCATCCCTTAAAAAACCAAACCACAGCAGACAGACGGCAGCGGGGATTTTTACTTCGGCCGCTGCGGCGGTGTTCGGCGGCTGTTTTGAGACATGGACGCGGCATTCTCGGGATGCGGGAGGACGAACCGCAGACGTCCCGAAGGACGGGCTTGATATGCTTTTTTTCGCTTCTTTTTTTTAATAGGTGCTTACGACGGCGTGCTTCACAATGCTCTTTTTATCGTGAGAATGAATCGCCGAGTGCGCCGTTTGAGGAATGCTATAATGGCAGACCTATTTGGTTAAGGGGGCCCATGACTTGTTAGCCGGCGATGTTTGATGCAAGACGTAGAGTCGCCACGTGAAGTAAGCTCATTGTCGCCGTCGTCGTCCACGACGCAATCTGCACTATCGCTACGGGAATTCAATCTCCTGGGAAGATCCAGCGGCTCCGTTGAAGAGGCCTCGCGGAGGCGCGGCGGAGGAGGAGGGAGACAGGGCCGGAGATATCGCGGGTGGGCTGACGAGGACGAAATCTCCGGCAGTAAAGATACCAATAAGAATCTCTGCAATTATTGACCCAATATCAGCCTCTGGCTAGATATTCGCTCGGCTGGGCTGTCAAAAGCCGGACAAGCAACGACCATGCAGCGGAGCAAGGCTTGGTTCATCTTCTTTTTCATGGAAGACGACCGAGCCTCCAGAATCCAGGCGTCGAGGGGCGCGGGATTTCCAGCGGTGAGGAGCGCTATGAAGGGGATAGATTAATAGCGACCAAGATTTATGCCATGGGCCCCGTTCAAAATCGAGCAAGGCGGTTGCTGGTTTTCCACTGGGTTGCCCCCCCTCGTCCACCTTTCAGCGCGGCTGAAGGGGGACGACGTTCCCCACTGAAGGACAAGACCCATGGTGAAGCAGCACAGCAGCGACGCCAGACTGAAAAAAGACCAGACGACAGTTGGACAGGTTCCTGTGCTGCTGGCCCAGGGGGTTGAGTGACCGGGGGAGGAGGACTCGACGAGGGAGAAGGAAAAGAAGAAAGAGGCGCCAGCACCCAATCGGCTACGGTGAAACAGGCGTGGCGCGGCGGGTCTGGCTGCAGGTGATTGGCTGTGACGGATTGGACATGACAACGGATGAAACATAGACGGGCCTGACAAGTCGTGCAGGCCGCGAGACAGGGCTAGACACAGGCAGGGGGTTATTGATCATTCATTGTGCTTTATTGCCCATTGATGCAGGAGCAGGTGAGTGAGTGGATTGGACATTGGGAGGCGCCGGTTCCCTGGCGGAGCAGCGAACGGTTCGAGGTGACGACGCCAGTCTCAGAGAGCCGCCCACGCCATCCCATCTGCACCGCTGGGTCTGTGTATTGTTTGCGGTTATGAGTGATATCCCAGATTAGACATAGCTGGCAGTTGGGATACAGGCATTTTGCGTGTTTGTGTGTGACTCGGATTCTGGTGCATGCTAGTGATGACTGACACATTGGAAACCGTACAGACAGTCCACCGGTACTCCGTACAGAAACTGGGACGATGAACTTCAATTTACGGAGGATACGGAGCATACGGAGCATACGGAGGACCTGACTAACCGACATTCGACGAACCATTCATTGGCCCCGGTGGTTATTGACGACCAGCCATAACGTATCAGTCCACCGCTGCACTGGAGAGAGATGAAGGAGGGGCACCGTCACCCCCGTCCACGATGCGACGCTGCACGCACGCAAACATCGCCGCGCCCTCGCTTACAAGCAATAAATCATTTTGCTGTAAAGAGCACATCGGCTACGGTGCGTACGCAATGTCCCTAATGCCCAGCATTCGTACCGCCGCAATGCCAATACATCGTAATCCAGGGGACCCGAAATACAGGGCAATCTAATCTGTAGAAATCTTGCGTTTCTCGTGTAATACTCCACGGTCTGGAACCTACACGAGGATATGCGGCTGTCTCGCGCCTTGGCTTGCAGCCTCGGAGCTGGATTCTTCCACATCTAGTCCCGTGGCTCCAATCTGATCGGCGCCCGGCACGATCTCGCGCATTCCTGTTGCAAAGGATAGATTGGCTTCCATTCCCAGTCCGGCCCGGGGGTAGGTTCTTCTCAACGGCCCGCCGACTCGGTCTCTCCGTCTCCGGAGCTTTAACATCAAACCCGGCTTCTCTCCAATCCGTCGGTCGCCTCACCGGCGACCGTTGAGTGCGAATCAGATCCCACGAGTAGGAGACCACCGTTTCGTGGTTCGAAATCTGAACGTTCCCGTCTCTCTTCACCCAAACGATCCGAACCCTTTCGTGGCAAGAGACCGTACCTGTCACAGATAGGGTGAACCCACGCAGCCGTGACCATTCCGCGGCGCGAGTGCCAGCGCTCGTCTCTATCCGCAACGCAAGCAACGAAGATAGCGCTGCCGCCGCCGCCGTCGTCGTGGCCGTCGTCGGACACCTGCCAAATCCTCGATTTCAGACGAGTTTCTCTTCCCGGCTCGAACATTGCAGCAACCTGCGTTCGTCATCCATCTCCAACACGAACGAACTCCTGTACGTTTTGGAAAGCCCCCCGCTTGCCTGCCGTTAGCAGTGTGTAGAAAAAGGGAAAAAGCCCACGCGTCTTCGAACATTGCCAAGACCTCTTCTTCCCGGGAAAAAAGCTTGTTTTTTCTCGAAAGGCGAAGGCTTGAACGGCGCGAATCCCTCGACGACCGCGTCGCCCACTTTTCGGTAACCGTTGGTAGGTCTTGGCGGCATTTCTGAATCACGAGGAATTGCGCGTCTGCGCACCGCGCTTGTATGAGTGGTGAAGAGCAGTGAGCCCCCAGCAGCATCAACCACACACAGCTCGGAAGTTCCGACGTTTGACGCCGCAAAAGGTGAGCTGTGTTGGGCCGAAGAAACTCCCCCTCTTGGTGCAGCCCCCCACAATCATCTCCCGGTTGAGCTTGTTCCAAAATACTGGAGCCAAAAAGTTGGAGTAGGTAGCCAACAAACCATACTTCGCACCTTGCTTGTTGTCTTTTGCTGGTATCGCCCGCATACCGAACAAGCATATGTTTTGGCGGTGGTGAATCTTTCGTCGATCATGTTTTGTGGTCTGATTTGCGCCTGGGTGCGTGTTCTCGAGGTTTCGGAGCGGAGGGTCGTCGGGCCAAAGAGTGGGAAAGTCGTATCCCCTGCCGACGTGTAACCTTGTTTGTCCATCAACTTGTCCATGAGAAATGTCACAGCAGTCTTCGGTGACAAATCGCGGGAGCGGACGAAGAGTGCGGCGCCGATCGGAGGAAGAACAGACGCAGAGCAAAGAGCGAGCTTCCCTGTCCCTCCGTTGATCCTTGGAGCTCCTCCCCCTCGGCCAACGCTGTGCGTCGACGGGCCCTCGGTTATGTTCTGGTCTCTGATGGGTTATATCAGAGCTATTCTAAGGTATCCGCGTGCGACGCCAGCGCCAAAACCACCCCAGGCCCGCCCCCCGCCTTGTCGGATGGCAGGATCCGAGGCGCCGATCCCTCGAGTTCGCTTTGATATCATATCGGATCGTCGGGTTTGGTGGTATTATACGCTGGTGATTGGCGATGGCGCGTCCGGTGTTGTGACTTGTTGTTGTTTCAATATTTGAAAAGACCTTCTGAGGCTCGCTTGTTGTTTGCTTAGCATTGCTTAGAGGTTACATATAGTCTCGCTTGCCCATTTTGCCAAGATGATCTTCGTCGAGATTTGTTTTTGATATGTGTTGGCTGGATGGATCTCGTTATTGTTGATCTGGTGAAGAGGAAGATGTGCGTCGCTCAGGTGTGACGTCTCGGCGCCTTGGTGATCCTGCCTTGGCTTGCGGGATGGCCAATGTTAGATGATTTGAAATGTTTGGTTTTGGTGTCGATGACACCTCTGGGCGGCGGCATGGACTTCCCGAGCTCGGCAGTGTTCTGCTTGCGGTGGATTCGCGAGAACATGGCCACAGTCCCGTGCCATGGGCGGCTTTGCTGTTCAGCACCGATGAGGTAGCTTCGGTTTCTCTCCGTTGTGTGATACTGTGACTAGATGTTGTTGGGTCCTTTCTGCACGAACCACTGTCTCGGAGGAACGTGAGGCTTGAAAGCAGGGCCCGAAGAGAGTGAGAGCCATAAGCCGGTCCAGAGGGCTGGTCGTCTTCGTTCGGGCATGACTTCTACGACCAGATGTTGTTTCCGCCGGACTATCAACAAGAACAAATTCGGCGGCATGAGTAATTAGCACGAGGAAACCGTGTACACAGTTTGGTTCTTCCCGTTTGACGTTGGCTGAATGGTGAGTGTCGTCGTAGCCCGTTGTCGTCGAACGCGCAACGCTTCTCTTCTCTTTCTTCTTGGGGTGTTATAGTCTCATGAGTCCTGCTCAAGACATTTGTCTAGAACCGTCCGCTGATATTGATCATACAGGTCTCTGTGTCCTCATCTTGTGAGACAATCTGCCAACCTTTTGAAACCCCGTTGACATGGCACTCGAAGAAAACACGGTCTCTCAACTTCTTCGGCCTCAGTATCGGGAACGGTGGGCGTCTCGATGTCGTCCTTGATGAGACCAAACGACCCTCTCGGCTGCACTGAAGTCCATTAGAGGGACCCTCGTGCGCTCATAATGAAGGCTTCGTGGCCACCTCCTCAGTTATCGGCATCATGCGGAAAGCATGCCGGAATAGAACCGACGTAAACCTGCTCGATAAACTGCATGTAATCATGCCAGTTATATCGAGAATTGGCAAGACCTCTTGAATCCCAGCAAATGCCTGCCTCAAAGGACTCTGCTGTTGCGCGCTAGACTGGAGAGGTGGTAGCACTGTCGAAGCCTAGCGGGAAAAACCATTCGTGTGGAAGGTGATGGAAAAACTGCTGTGGAAGTAGACATGGTCCTCTCGGAAAGCTGGCTTGAGGCCCTCCTCCCATCCGCACCAGACATCGACAGACGAGAGTAGAGACGATAGCAGTGAAGAGTTTGGTATGTGATGAGGAGCCTCGTTCTTCGGCGCCGATGCTTCGAGCGATCCAGTTCGCAACAAACTAACACAGTATCTTGACGTGGGAAGTGGCAGAGGAGAACGATGCCGATGAAGGCTAGCAGCTAGCTATATGCGATATGTCTTTGCCGCGACTTCATTGAGCACTGAGTTGCCATATCAGGCATAGTCTTTAAGGGTACTAGGCATGATAAACCTGACTTTCGGATACCATCATCTCATTCCCAACATAAGTTGATGGCCATAGGTCTCGTAAAGCTTTGCGTTATGTTGATGAGGGTACACCGCTCACCGAGAGTTTAGATATGTTCCTCACCTCAACGACAAGCATGAGAGTCTTGAGATTAGGGATTCAGAGCACACTACATCTGAGTTGCGTGCGACAACGATATGCGCCATGGAATGGTGTTCCCTTTCTCGACCTCATGACTTCGTGATCACGTCTAGACTCTGCGCCCAACGGGTACACTCTTTTGGCTCTCAAATTGAGCCTGTCAACACGCAGTTGGGGCTCAGGTAAACGGGCAGTCCCTCGAATGATGACCGGAACTGTGCAAAGCCCACCGTCAGTAGCACGGGGAATTGGACACTGATAGTCTCATCCGGGCGCATTCATATGTTTGCAGCTTGACGCGATATCACCATGTCTATAGAAGGCGTGTCTGTGTCGAGATACCAGACCAAACGTATACGGAGGCCGACAGAGGCCACGTCCTGGACGTCTTAAATCTACACCATAACGGCTGTGACTGAAGTCGCAGTATCCCAACCGACGCAGGGAAGAGAGTATGTCATTTGGTTACATCGCATCATTCGATTGTGGAAAGGCAGCTGGAAAGGCAGCATATCTCCCCCCTTCTAAGAGATGCGCCATACATCATGCAACGAACGAATAGCTTCACATGTGTCAAGTGATTGGCCCAGGTATAAGACTCACTTCCTAAAGTTCTCGACGAGGCTAATGTGGATGCGCTGTCTGCGGACATGCCGACGTCGTCAGCCGCACCCAAGGCAGAATCCTGTCGCAAGTCAAGCCTGGTATCACCATTTCGGTCGCTTCCGGAGTCATGAGTTCCTTGACGTCACGGGTTACTGTTCAAACGAGGCTCTTGCTTTTTCAGCTGAGTGGGACAATCCCATGATAACCTTCCAGACCGGTCCAAATGCTATTGACCGGGGCAGGTTCCAGAGTCCTGGGACCCGATAACGAGGGCACGCGCGCGGGGTCCGACTCAGTTGGAAACAAGCGCCTGGTTGTCGATCAATCAAGCGAGGAAATGCAAGCTGGCGTGATTCACGATATTCGACTCAGTAAAGCGTGAACTCTGCGCTTGGCAATGCGCCAGACAGTTCTTAACTCCGACGACTTGGCCGTTGCCGCCAAGTCAACCCGAGCAGTATCGGCGCCGAGAATGCGTTGATAAAGAGGGTTGCCCGCCCTCCCCGTTGCTCTCCAATGAATTGGCATCCGTTGCCGAGACGTTGGCAATCCAGTGAGGCATTCTCAGTGGCGGTAGCTCTGGACGAATCGAGATGTCGTCCACCGGCTTTGGTGAGTTTGATGAATCATTTCTGCAGTCGCTTCCGCCCGCTCGCGGAATGCCTTCGCCGGAGGGACGGCGTCGTCGGGTCAGCACGTTGCCCGGTGCTCTTGCTCCGCATATGGCAACGCTGTCATGACATTGGGTCAGAGTTTGAACTCTCGCGACACGTCACAGCTGACTAAAGCAGAGCGCGTGATCGGTTCCCCCGTGGGCGAAGGTTGACAGCAGCAGCTGCCATGCCTGCCGTAGAACAAGTTGAAACGTGGGCGTGGAAGGTTGGCAAAGGCTATTTTGGCAACTCAATTGGGGTGTGTTTCGTCATTTCTGGTTGGCGAAGGAAGAGTTGTCATCCCTTTGTCATTCGCTCCGAACTCTGCTGGGGCTGAGGTAGGGCAGGCAGGGCTGGTTGTTTGTCGATCAGCCGTTGTCCTGTGCCATGCTGAAGAAGAAGCATGTGGCATGTTGATGGCATTCCAGGTTGGTTGTTGGTGTTCTGCCGGAAAATTTCCGGGAATTCGCAAGGTTGGACCAACACGTGCGAGTCCTCATTGGCAGCCGGGTGCGGGAGACAATGGACCCCTTCGGAAGAAAATTCGGGATAGGGAAGAAAAAAAAAAATAGGGGAGTGACGTGATGGAGTAAAAGTTGGTCGGATTCATGCATCGAGCAGAAAAGGTGGGATGACTTGCGGCTTAAACTCATGCGTTTGTGTTGTTGGTTGTTGCCTCTTCGGAACTCCCGCAGATTTGGCGTCGTTCGGCTCGCTACGGTCGGCAGACTGCGGATGAGGTAAGCAGACAATGACGCCGCCAACACTACACCGTGGAATGGGGGTCGATAAGTCTATCGGTACCTATCAAAGATAAGCAGCGCAGTGGGTAAGGTACGTATCTCTGAAGGATAAGGCAGGTGGAGTCCCGCCAGGAGTGGCGCCGTGGCCGGCAAATGAGCAGCGGTGTTGAC